GGGCTGGGAGGAGAGGAAGAAGAGAGGGGAGAGGATGGGAGTCAGGGGACGGCTAGGAGGAGAAGAGAGAGGAGAAGAGATCAGAGAGGAAAGAAGTGGAGGAGAGGAGAACTGAATGGGCCATTTAGTGAACAGAATATGATCTGCTTCAGACAGACGTGGACAGGGCTGGGCTAAGCTGGACTCACATTTGGCAACTGAAAATAGCAGGTAAAGCAAGGTAGATCACAAATTGCATTAATATATCATATATGTGTGTGTGTGCGTGTGTGTGCGTGTGCGTGTGATTATGTCTCTGTGTTGTGTTTTGTGCTTCATGCCAGGAAACCTCTCCTAGCATCAGTATCATATGATTAGATGGACTTGCACATGATGCACAAACCCAGCCTGATAGGGCTCCTTCCGGACACACACACACACACACACACACACACACACACACACACACACACACACACACACACACACACACACACACACACACACACACACACACACACACACACACACACACACACACACACACACACACACACACACACACACACACACACACACACACACACACACACACACACACACACACACACACACACACACACACACACACACACACACACACACACACACACACACACACACACACACACACACACACACACACACACACACCTCTCTCTCTCTCTCTGAATCCTGCTGTACTCTAGTTACAGTAATCAACTCTAACCTCAGTGTTGTGTGACGTCATTTTATTAAAGGTCCCCTATCATGCAAAATGCACTTTTTGATGTCTTTTATACATAAACATGTGTCCCCGGTGTGTCAGGAGACTCACATAGTGATGTCTTCTCTACATCACCATGTGTCCCCGGTGTGTCAGGAGACTCACATAGTGATGTCTTCTCTACATCACCATGTGTCCCCGGTGTGTCAGGAGACTCACAAAGTGATGTCTTCTCTACATCACCATGTGTCCCCGGTGTGTCAGGAGACTCACAAAGTGATGTCTTCTCTACATCACCATGTGTCCCCGGTGTGTCAGGAGACTCACAAAGTGATGTCTTCTCTACATCACCATGTGTCCCCGGTGTGTCAGGAGACTCACAAAGTGATGTCTTCTCTACATCACCATGTGTCCCCGGTGTGTCAGGAGACTCACAAAGTGATGTCTTCTCTACATCACCATGTGTCCCCGGTGTGTCAGGAGACTCACATAGTGATGTCTTCTCTACATCACCATGTGTCCCCGGTGTGTCAGGAGACTCACATAGTGATGTCTTCTCTACATCACCATGTGTCCCCGGTGTGTCAGGAGACTCACAAAGTGATGTCTTCTCTACATCACCATGTGTCCCCGGTGTGTCAGGAGACTCACTAAGTGATGTCTTCTCTACATCACCATGTGTCCCCGGTGTGTCAGGAGACTCACAAAGTGATGTCTTCTCTACATCACCATGTGTCCCCGGTGTGTCAGGAGACTCACATAGTGATGTCTTCTCTACATCACTATGTGTCCCCGGTGTGTCAGGAGACTCACAAAGTGATGTCTTCTCTACATCACCATGTGTCCCCGGTGTGTCAGGAGACTCACAAAGTGATGTCTTCTCTACATCACCATGTGTCCCCGGTGTGTCAGGAGACTCACAAAGTGATGTCTTCTCTACATCACCATGTGTCCCCGGTGTGTCAGGAGACTCACAAAGTGATGTCTTCTCTACATCACCATGTGTTTTCGGTGTGTCAGGAGACTCACATAGTGATGTCTTCTCTACATCACTATGTGTCCCCGGTGTGTCAGGAGACTCACAAAGTGATGTCTTCTCTACATCACTATGTGTCCCCGGTGTGTCAGGAGACTCACAAAGTGATGTCTTCTCTACATCACCATGTGTCCCCGGTGTGTCAGGAGACTCACAAAGTGATGTCTTCTCTACATCACCATGTGTCCCCGGTGTGTCAGGAGACTCACATAGTGATGTCTTCTCTACATCACCATGTGTCCCCGGTGTGTCAGGAGACTCACAAAGTGATGTCTTCTCTACATCACCATGTGTCCCCGGTGTGTCAGGAGACTCACAAAGTGATGTCTTCTCTACATCACCATGTGTCCCCGGTGTGTCAGGAGACTCACATAGTGATGTCTTCTCTACATCACTATGTGTCCCCGGTGTGTCAGGAGACTCACAAAGTGATGTCTTCTCTACATCACCATGTGTCCCCGGTGTGTCAGGAGACTCACAAAGTGATGTCTTCTCTACATCACTATGTGTCCCCGGTGTGTCAGGAGACTCACATAGTGATGTCTTCTCTACATCACTATGTGTCCCCGGTGTGTCAGGAGACTCACAAAGTGATGTCTTCTCTACATCACTATGTGTCCCCGGTGTGTCAGGAGACTCACAAAGTGATGTCTTCTCTACATCACCATGTGTCCCCGGTGTGTCAGGAGACTCACAAAGTGATGTCTTCTCTACATCACTATGTGTCCCCGGTGTGTCAGGAGACTCACATAGTGATGTCTTCTCTACATCACCATGTGTCCCAGGTGTGTCGGGAGACTCACATAGTGATGTCTTCTCTACATCACCATGTGTCCCCGGTGTGTCAGGAGACTCACAAAGTGATGTCTTCTCTACATCACTATGTGTCCCCGGTGTGTCAGGAGACTCACAAAGTGATGTCTTCTCTACATCACCATGTGTCCCCGGTGTGTCAGGAGACTCACAAAGTGATGTCTTCTCTACATCACCATGTGTCCCCGGTGTGTCAGGAGACTCACATAGTGATGTCTTCTCTACATCACCATGTGTCCCCGGTGTGTCAGGAGACTCACAAAGTGATGTCTTCTCTACATCACCATGTGTCCCCGGTGTGTCAGGAGACTCACATAGTGATGTCTTCTCTACATCACCATGTGTCCCAGGTGTGTCAGGAGACTCACTAAGTGATGTCTTCTCTACATCACCATGTGTCCCCGTGTGTCAGGAGACTCACAAAGTGATGTCTTCTCTACATCACCATGTGTCCCCGGTGTGTCAGGAGACTCACAAAGTGATGTCTTCTCTACATCACCATGTGTCCCAGGTGTGTCAGGAGACTCACTAAGTGATGTCTTCTCTACATCACTATGTGTCCCCGGTGTGTCAGGAGACTCACAAAGTGATGTCTTCTCTACATCACCATGTGTCCCCGGTGTGTCAGGAGACTCACAAAGTGATGTCTTCTCTACATCACCATGTGTCCCCGGTGTGTCAGGAGACTCACAAAGTGATGTCTTCTCTACATCACCATGTGTCCCCGGTGTGTCAGGAGACTCACAAAGTGATGTCTTCTCTACATCACCATGTGTCCCAGGTGTGTCAGGAGACTCACAAAGTGATGTCTTCTCTACATCACCATGTGTCCCCGGTGTGTCAGGAGACTCACTAAGTGATGTCTTCTCTACATCACCATGTGTCCCCGGGTGTGTCAGGAGACTCACAAAGTGATGTCTTCTCTACATCACCATGTGTCCCAGGTGTGTCAGGAGACTCACATAGTGATGTCTTCTCTACATCACCATGTGTCCCCGGTGTGTCAGGAGACTCACAAAGTGATGTCTTCTCTACATCACCATGTGTCCCAGGTGTGTCAGGAGACTCACAAAGTGATGTCTTCTCTACATCACCATGTGTCCCCGGTGTGTCAGGAGACTCACTAAGTGATGTCTTCTCTACATCACCATGTGTCCCCGGGTGTGTCAGGAGACTCACAAAGTGATGTCTTCTCTACATCACCATGTGTCCCCGGGTGTGTCAGGAGACTCACAAAGTGATGTCTTCTCTACATCACCATGTGTCCCCGGTGTGTCAGGAGACTCACAAAGTGATGTCTTCTCTACATCACCATGTGTCCCCGGGTGTGTCAGGAGACTCACAAAGTGATGTCTTCTCTACATCACCATGTGTCCCAGGTGTGTCAGGAGACTCACAAAGTGTCAGAAAATACAACTCTCTCTTTTCCTCCGTACCCACATCTCTAAAAACGGGGGTACAACAGAGCTGATCCAGATCTGCTGCGTCATGACGACATTACTAAAATGTGGCCTGGCTTTACGTTGAACTCCAAAGGGGCGTGGCCAGCAGCAGCTTGGTTACATTTAAAGGGCCAGACCCAGAATCAGCACTTTAGTAACAGGGCTGAAATAGAGGGGTATGAGGCATGCTACAATGGGTGATCTATTTGGTATTTTGAGCAAAACACTTCAGAGACATGTTTGTATAGAAATGGCCCTATAATATATTGTTCAAATATAGCATAATAGGTGAGCTTTAAGGCTTTACTTGTGAAGTTTTCTTTTTTTAATGAAGAAACAATGAAATTGCGGACTGAATTCATTTTCTGAACAATTTTCAAAAATAATTAACAAATTGTTCCAAGACTATTCTTATAAAGATTAAACAGTAATTGTCGACAGCTTCAAACTAGTTTGGAATAACAACTTATTTGTACTTGCAATTACAGGTCAGATATCACTGGTGGAATTTAGAAAATATAGATAATTGTGCAGTGTGTGCTGTCAGCCACAGTTAGTAGATATTAGAAAATATACATAATACGATTTTGAACTGAAGCTTAAGCTCGCCAACAGTGTTACAATATAGTTTCTATTGATGTCAACTCTATACTGTACAGTCAATACTATAAATGAATATGTTTAGAATATCTGTAATCTTTTAGTGGTAATATCTAGCAGGATTTCAATGCAAGACAAGGGCACCAAAAGCAGAACAAATACCTCAATATCGCAAATTCAACAACGTAGGACAAACATAATTTATAGATTAAAATGATTGAAACCTTCTATTGTTTTACAATGGCTTTTTATCATTTGTTATAGTGCATTGATGCTATTCAGGAAGAGCATAATTTCCATGTGTATAAGGATTGATACATAGTGATAGTGGCTCAGCCTCAGTCACCATGACAGACTCTTTGCTAGAGGTAAGTGGAGGTCTTACCTCTGTATCAGGATCCTCTGTGCTGCCCTCTGATTGGAGGATTCCTGGGTAGGGGCCCCACATTGTGTCTGTTTTGAGATCCCTGCCAGCGACCACCTTGCTGCCCCCCCCCACTTCACTTAACTCCAGCTCATCTAGAGGAAGGAGACAGAAAGGATTGGTTAACATCAGGGGATATAAAACAACTGTAGGTACATTGATATCATAGGTATCAAAACATCCTTTTTCAAATGATTTGTAAGCATTAACATATTTCATTTATTTATAGCTTGTAGTCACCCTTACTTATAGCATTTAATAGAGACCACATGACGGGCTCAAATGCAAAAACAAAACAACAAACAAAAAGACAGAATGTGGATCAAACTTGAGCTGAACCCTGCATCAGTTCAGACAAAACAGCTGAAACTGTCCAAGCTCGACAGCAGGGGGGGTTTGACACCAGCAGGGGGGGTGTGATACCACCAGCAGGGGGGGTGTGATACCAGCCGTGCTCTTTCTGTCCTGGCCGGGGAAACAGAGGAAACTTCTTGTGTACTTCCTCAAATTGATAACTGTCGAAGGATGGCGGTGACGGCTGAGGCCTGAGCCTGCTGCAGTCCTGATAGAGCCAGTTAGCCCCGAGGCATGGCAGACTGATCCATCTACTTAAAACAGATCTGAGTGCAGCATGGGCAGCAGTCTGTACTTTACACAAGTCTCTGCACATCTGAGGAACAACATGTGTCAGAAACACTGGAGAGTGACAGTGGGAAACTTTCTGGTTTCACTGTTATCTCTGATCGAAACGCATACACAAATCTGTCTCTCCTCCCCTCCTCTCCTTCTACCTTCTACCACCGACGCCCCCCCGCCCCCCTCCCTCCCTCCCCTTCTCAGCTAGTCAATGGTTCAGGCGAGTTTTTCGGGGGGTCGGTCTAAAGTGGCGGGCCTGATAAGAGTGTTTGTCTAACACTCTCCATGTCAAAACACTCATCTATCTTCTCTGTATCTATCCCCACCAGAGAACAACGGACAGACGCTGATAAAATGGCTTTCCCACAGCCGGTGGGGGGTTGAGAGGGAGGTGGTGGTGGAGGGACGGGCTTGGGGTTATGGAGGGGAGGAGGGAGCAGGAAAGAGTGTGGTTTGAGGGGGGAGAATAAAAGTGAGTAGTAGAAATTAATAAAAACAAGTGATTAAAGCAAGGGAGCACCTGGAGCGAATGGGCTTTATTAATCATCAAGCAGCTTCTGGCACACTTTCTTCACCAGTCCTGGTTGTGCCACACTGTAACCGGCCCTACATTTTTACATTCTCTTGCCCCAGTGCACATGAGAGTGTGACACTGATGCCAGACGCAACAAGAGCTGACCCTACCTGTTGTGCTTGGGTCGGGTTGGGCTGAATTTTTTATTGAATGACTCAATTTGGTTGGAGCTCAATTTCACAAATATTTTGAGAAAAATCATACTTATTTGTTAGAATTTAGGGCATACATGGGTCGTTGGGTTCTTGCTTTCTGACACATGATAGTTGTCAAAGTCTGTTGGGATGTGGACCAAACTGATCCAGGTTCATGTCGGGTCAGAGTCAGATTTCTGTCCCGGGTCAAGCGCCAACATGACTCCTCAGACAGTCTAACCTGCTGCAGAGTCTGAAGTCCAGCCAGGATCCTATCTCCTGTCCCATGAGGCCTTACTTCGGCCACACTGACCTCCTTATCTCAGCCCTCCATCATTGTCCAGTCTGCCTCTCAACCATTGGCTACTCTTCATCACATGGTACTCTTATCAGCATGACCAGCTCATTTGACCCTCATTTGGAAACAGTGCAGGGATCAGTGAGCCAACACAGATATGAACTTATAAACAAGCCCAACACAAGCATTAGTTTGTCAGATAAAAGCTGAACACAAGTTTTCCTATTCCTTTCATGACCTGTTGCATCATATCCAATCATGGAAGCATGCTTTCAGGAAAAGGTCATTTGTTGTTGTAGCATATACGGTTCTGGAAAAAAACAAGAGAGCACTCCAGCATTATCAGTCTTTCTGGTTTTACTATTTAAAGGTATGTTTGAGTCAAATTAACCTTCTTTTATTTTATTCTCTAAACTACTGACAACATTTCTCTGTTTTGGAATTCAACAGACACTGGAATGGAATGGCTGCCATACATGTAGAGATTGACATTCAAGAACAATGTGGAGTGGTCTCTTCAATCCAAAGACACCTGTTGGCCTGACAGCGAGTCAGTACCACAACAAACAAACAGGTCGAGTCTACAAGATAATTTAGGATATATGGGTTGCTTTAAAGTATAAAAATATATAAAAATATTTTAAAAACATATTTATGAATTGTTTTGCTCAAAATACCAAACAGATCACCCATTCTAGCCATGCCTCATACCCCTCTATTTCAGCCCTGATACTAAAAGGGCTGATTCTGGGTCCGTAGCTGTAAAAAAAAAAAAAAAAAAAGAGGGGGGAGAGCTCATGCAGGAGAATTCTACCCAGATACTCAGCTAAATGTTGATCATAAACGCCATATCATGTTCAAAACCACTTCAAGGATTATTTCTGAAACAATATGGAGCTCAAACTCTTTTTCTCTCTCAGGTTTACCACAAGGTGAGTTCCTTTTTATATCCGGCTTCTTTACACATACTCTCTCCAGTACAGGTTAGCTCTGAGTGTTAGCGATGCTTGCTGATGTAAGCGTTTCTGATAGGGCCGTGAGCGTAAAGCCAGCCCACATTTGCAATATTACGTCATATCGGACGCAAATCTGGATCAGCTCCTTTGTACCCCCGTTTTTAGAGATGTGGGTACACAGGAAAAGAGAGAGGGTTTTGTTTTCTGACACTTTGTGAGTCTCCTGACACACCAGAGACCCATATTTATCTATACAAGACATACAAAAGTCAATTTTGCATGATAGGAGACCTTTAAAAAACATTTATAATAGCACTGTCAGTTTGTGGATAGGTTCCACATGTATTTCCAGACTGAAATACTTTATCTCAACAAGTGAAGAATTGCCATGTTATTGTGGACAGACACTTATTTTGTAAGCGGATACATCTTGACCCTGACCCTGTGATTTTCTGACTCTTCATAAAGCCCACCATCAGGTCAAAATGTTAATTTGGCTTGTCACTAAATACTGCCAATCTATAAATGGACTTTGTAATTATTGAATAATTGCATACTCAAGCTGAACTAAAATGTGAACACGGTATGTAAACATTGTGATCCTGTTAGAACGGATATTTAATGGCAGCACCAACGACTGTTGATCAAGCAGTTGTCAGGGAGTCTTTTTAATAAAGCACTGCCTTTTCATGTTAGTAGAGAGAAAGTGCTATCGTTGCACTTCCACTAGTGCTGCTTGCTAATCCCAGCAGGTTACCTGTGTCGCCGCGGTTACATGAGGCCTCCAACAATCCTAATCTCTGTTAATTACCCCTGCTGCCCTCCAGACCTGCATAATAACCCAGCGCTCCTTATCGATATGGCTGCTACTACCCTCACTGCTCGATATGATAATACCCCCACCACTGTGCTGTGTGTGTGAGCACAGACACACAAACACTTTCTGTTGTGTGCTGGATGAACCGTACAAGGCTGTCCAAATCATCCAGCTTCAGTATTCACATAGCCTCACAGCTCTGACACACACACACACACACACACACACACACACACACACACACACACACACACACACACACACACACACACACACACACACACACACACACACACACACACACACACACACACACACACACACACACACACACACACAACACACACACACACACACACACACACACACACACACACACACACACACACACACACACACACACACACACACACACACACACACACACACACACACACACACACACACACACACACACACACACACACACACACACACACACACACACACACACACACACACACACACACACACACACAGGCTTATCAATACGGACGCTTCAGCAGCCACTGGGGCGTCCCAGACCTCTTTGATGAGCCAACACAATAAAACAATCATTCCACCATTAATGAAATGACACAATTAACTGATGAGAGGGGTGGGGGGGAGAAAAACAGCTGAAGGTAGCAGACAGCTGTTTGCTGGTGGAGTGTGTGCAGGGGTTAAATTGGTCTCAGCCCCGGCACATAGGACGATGCTCTGAAGTCATCAGCCTCGCACATTTGTCATATATGTACAAACTTTTCTCGTTCTTAATATATACTATATTTAGGGTCGTTATGTGTTGCCTTTACTTAAAAATAGCAGATCTCTCTGACCGGCTATAGTTTTTCGGCATAGTGAGCGTGTGTCTCTGCTCCGATCAGGAGCTGTGGCTCCTCCCTGTAAAGAGTCTGCAGCGGTGCCGCAGAACCCCCCGACCCGTCCTGTAACACGGAGCCCGTTTCTTAAACCATGCAAAATGTATGTGTGTGCATAAAGCTGAGTTATGATCGGTCATAATTAAATAGTTTAAAGTGAGACTTACTCACATACTTTTGGCCATACTCACGCAGCCCTATGAATTGAGATTTCCACACAAATGTTCTTTAGCAAGTGTGCAGAGCAACATAGATTTAAAACAGCAATTTAAAGGTTGGATATTTGTAAAAAGATGATATATTAATAACTTAGGATGTAAATACATTTATTTGTAGTACTTTCTATTTTTATTGTGTGATTTGGTCACAGTGTGTGTGATCTAGGAATTTTGGATCAGTACTGATTTATTGTATTTGGTTTGTCACTTGACCAACTGTTCTATTGTTTAATAACTGAGTTCACTCAACGGATATTATACAGATTACCTTTATTATTGTATACTTATTTTTGTAATGAGTGTGATGCTGAAAATATAAATGATAAAAAAACGCTCACAATATTTCCTTCCTCAAATAGGTTGCATTACAACTAATGCTCTATATAACAATTTGGAGCAGACCATGTTTAGGGAACAAGTTTGTTAAAGTTTGACACAAAAATAGGGTGTTCTCCTGTGACATAATGATAGTCTAACTGTTGAGCTATCAACAACTCCTTACCATTAAGCGTCAGTTGTCATGCTACTTCAGATCTTACCTAAAACTTGCCCCTAGAGCATGTGTATCAAATTTGGGGAAATCCTGTCTTCAGGGTTTTGAGCATGGTTTTGAGCTACACATTTGTGATATCCCCTACCTATGGGTCAGGACAAAGATGCTTTTGTACGCCTATTCCTAAACACATACTGAACATATACACCACATGTCATAATCATTGGATACATTGTTGATGACTCAGGAGCATTTCCTTCTAAGCCCTGCCTATCTTTACCTACGTTCTATTGATGTTTGTGCTTGGGCTCAAACTATAACAGATAATGTCAACACAAATCACTGTAAAAGTTGGAGTGATAATGAGGCCATCATAACACCTCATCACATTGATAAGAATGCATTTTTACCTGCTTGAGCCCTACTGGATATAAAATGAGCGTTACTCTATACTTAATTAGGTAGATTCATTAGATAGATAGATAGATAGTACTTTATTGATCCCAAATTGGGAAATTGTTGTTGTTACAGCAGCATAAAAGGCATTTTACAATAAAACAAAACTACAAAATATACAAGAATAGAAAGAAAAATTAAATAAAATATAAAATATACATGTCGAAATAGAAAATATACATGCAGATATTATATATATATATACAAATATATATATATTCAAAATATATGGAATATGGAGTATAAATATTGAACAGATTATAGAGTAAAATGTACAACGTGGTTTTTTTCTCAGAAGATACAGCGATACGATGATGGCAGTTCTACAAAGTGACCCATTTTTTAGATACATTTGATTTGTAGATTTTCTTTTTTGTGGTCATCCAGTGAAATCTGTGTTTCCTCTTGAGTAGAGGTCTAACATTGAGTAGAGGTCTAACATTGTGTAGGCTAAGAGTGTGCAGGGAGTCACTCATTAGTTATCCTTGCATAAGGGCAGCCTACCTGTTTGTTCCTGTTGGTCTTCCTGGATATCAATGATGAATAAAGAGGGAGAAAAGGTGTAACCCTACACTGATGTTCTTCTCTATCCGGCCTAATTGATTTTTAAAAAGACTATTGTTGATATCAAATGAGCACATCGTGGCGGGGCTATTGATTTTTTGACACCACACAACAGGAAATCTTTATCTGCGTGTTACTCCGACCCCGCACTAATAGGTGGGGTTTAACCTCTGCTGAATGACAAATCCCAACGCCTCCACTTTGCAATTCTGTAGTTCTCATTGGAAAAACAGGACAAATTATTTATTTTAATGTAATCAAATATGGAGTTATGTGTTTTATGATTACACATGTTGGGACTCCACCTTAAGGCAACTAAGGCATATATTTTAATTTCACTTGATCCTGATTCAATGTGAAATACAAAACAACTTCTGTACCTGGAAGTGCCCTTTAACCTAGCCTGAGGACATCAATGGCCGTTGGTTACTGCAGCCTGTGACCTGTTCCATCCCCGGGTCTTTTAAAACCCGCTGCAGCCCGTTGTGAACCCCTCTGCTCCCTCTCTTCTTGCCGGAGTAGCTCTCCGGTAACCTGCAGAGCTACAGTATGAGCCCCACGGCCTGCTGGGAGCACGCAGGCTTCAGATGACTCTCTGATAACCGACCTCTGTTCTTTGAACGAAACCACGCCAGCCTCAAAACTTCCAGTAACCTGCACTGCTTGCCGACTAGGAGCAGCAACAGTTTAGCAAAGAGCTAATTGTAGTAAGCAAGATAACTAATTGAGTCATTGATCTTCTCTGATTAATAATTAACATCCACCAAATACTCAAAGGCTTTATTTTCATAAGGACCAGAGTTTAAAACTACCCACACATTTTGCTCAGTCTTTATAGCATAGTATTTTGATTTAATGTCAATATTAAATATATGGATTTCTGCTGCTGAAAAGTTTTCATAAACATATGTATGTGAATCAAGTATCTGCAAATCTTTGAAAAGTCTGTAAAGATTAGTAAAAGCATCTTAGGGATTTTAGTGTTTTGAAAGTAAGTGATTTACTTTTTAGTTTAGTTTTTACTTACTATATGTCTTTCACGAAGGATGGCATGTTAAAGTGATCATTAACAGTAAACAATTAATTAGGTTGGTATCCTGCAATGGTATGTTTTTACAGCTTTATCAATGTAACATGTAAATCATAAATCAATCAATTTATCAGCCAAGTCTAAAACTTGCATTAACAAATCCGACCTCACCTTCTGCATTAATGACAACTCACATCATCTCCAATGCTGGCTGATAAAAGGCCTGAATCTAACAACACCCTTCTCTCTTCTCCTCTCCCTCCCCATGATCTCCATGCAGCACCCCTGGGTCCCTGGAGTCCGGCGGCTCGGCTCAGCGGCAGAGAGACGTTTGTGGGATAGGCATCTACTGCTCAGGACAACGCAATCATTTCCATTTTACCCTCTGTTGCACAGGCAAGATAAGACACCTGCGTAGCCCTGCTAATCAGATGAGCTTCAACAGAACTTTATCATTGACATTTACCACTGTTTACCCAACTAATTTCTCTTAACTGCACTGCTGAACTTTTATCTACAAAATACATACACCACCAGAAAAGAGCAAGAAGCAAACATGCAAATTCCCAAATATGCCAAGAAAGATAAAATGAGGGGGAGAAAAGTAAAGGCATTTTCTGTTCAGAGGACCAAGGAGGTGAAGCAGAACTAGTGAAAGGGTTACCTTCTCACTGAAGACAAACAAATGCAAAAAACGCTGACATTCACAGGCACATTTTGCAGATCAATCGCCTGACTGCTGGGGAGATTTATTTATTATTGA